TGTCATCCTAGCACTTTGAGAAGCTGAGGCAGGAGGATCATGAGCTCAAGCCCAGCCTGGGTAACATGGAGGTTCCACAACGCCTGTCTCAAAATAAAACATTAAAAAAGGGCTGGGGATATAGCTCAGTGCCCAGACCCTGGGTTCCATGCCCACTACCACGAAATAAATTTAGATAAATAAAATAAAAACTTAAAAGACTGTGTCCTTCCGTGGGAAGAAACTGGAAGGCATGCGGCCTCCGGAATCTGGCCCCTGCCTGTCTGACTGCTCTCTGCCCTGCTCCTTACGATCCACAGGCATAGGGGTTTCCCCTTCAAAACTCTCCTCTCGCCCCACACGGCCGGCAGGCAAACCTCAGACTCAGAAACTGCTTCCAAATGAGGGGGTGGTAAACTCCGATCTGCAGGCCAAATCCAGCCCATTGGTCTTGTCAATAAAGTTTTATTGGCACATGCCCCGTTAGTTACACGCACAGCTTTCCAGGCACAGCGGCAGAGCTGAGCCGAGGGCCACAGAGACTGCACAGCTGGCACTGCCAAAAATATTTACTATCTTTGTTTGTTTTTGGAGACAGGGTCTCTCTAAATGACTCAGGTCGGCTTTCATCTTGTAATCCTCCTGCCTCAGCCTCCCAAAAAGCTGCGATTTCAGCCAGCCTTGCTCATTATTTATTTATATTATTATTTTTCAGGGTTGGGGATCAAACTCAGCATCTTGCCCAGGCTTGGCAAATGCTCTACTTCTGCTCATTGTTTTTTTAAACACAGGTGCTACATTCATTCTGGAGGTGGGAAGAAGCCAACCTAGCAGGCGTCTCCCGGAGCCCGCCTGCCGCTCACCCGTGCAGTTGCCGCCCCCTTGGTCCAGCTCGTAGCCGTCTGCACATGCGCAGCGGAACAGGCCGGGCAGGTTCTCACAGCTCCCAAAGGCGCAGAGGTTCCCGAGCGCGCACTCGTCCACATCTGCAGGAACCCAGTTCAACATGCCCTGCCCCAGCGCGCTCCGGCGACCCGCCCACTTGTTCCTGGCACCGTGGCCCCAGCCTCACCCTGGCATCCTCCGAGGTCTTCGGTGGGACTGAAGCCCATCTCGCATTCACAGCGGTACCCGCCAGGGACATTGAGGCACTGCCCGTTCTCACAGAGGTCCATGTCCTCGGCACATTCGTCCCTGTCTGAGGGGCAGAAGGAGGTGCAGTGACTGGAACCTTCCCCAGTCACTCAGGGTCCCAGGCAAGGAGCTCTAAGAGCGTGGACTCTGGCAGGGGGCCAGGTGGCCCAGACAAAGACTGGGGTGCAGAAAGACGGCTGTGGGCACAGGGCTCCAGCCAGAGCAGCAGAGGGGACTTGGTCACTCAGGTCAGGCTTGGAGGGTAGCCGGGAAGTAAGCAAGTGTCCCTAGGCACTTAAAGAGTCCAAGGAGCTGGGTGTGGTGTTACACACCTGTAATTTCAGCACTCTGAGAGGCTGAGGCAGGAGGATCTCAAGTTTGAGCCCAGCCCAAGCAACCCAGGAGACCCTGTCTCAGAAAATAAAAAAAGGCTGGAGGGGAGCTCAGTGTAGAGGTCCTGGGTTCGATACTCGGTATCAAAAAACAGACAAAGGCTCTAAGGGAGGAGGTGCTGCCTGAGACCCACAGGTGGACTGAGAATGTGTTCTCCCAGCACCTGTGGGTGACCTGTGGATGAAGCTGGCACCACGCCTGTCCCTCCTGGCCCCCACCCCCTTACCTTCGCAGGAGAAACCGTCCCCGGCGAATCCCTGGTGACAGGTGCAGCCGTAGGAGCCGGGGACATTGAGGCAGTTGGCTCTCGGGCTGCACCGGTGGTCCTGAGCGGCGCATTCGTCCAGGTCTGCAGGAGGCGGAGCCCAGAGCCAGGGTGTGCATTGCGGGTGGGAGGGGCCCCACAGCCACCCGGGCACCCACCACGCCCACCTTGCTCCCGCCGGCCTCTTCTTCCCAGGACTCCTTGCCCCCAGGTACTCACCCTGGCATTCGAAGCCGTCCCCTGCCCAGCCTGGCTGGCACCTGCAGCTGAAACTCCCGGGGAAATTGAGGCAGGAGGCGTGGCTGTCACAGTCGTGTCCCCCAAGCTCACATTCGTCCACGTCTGAGGGGAGGGGCCACAATGAGGCAGTCCCGGAAGGGGCTGGCGTGGTAGCAGCAGAGAGGGGACCCCAGGAAGCCCCCCGCCATTTTTATCCAGAGTCTAAGAGAAGACCCCCAAACCAATAGGCTGACTCCCTGTGGCCTTCACAAATGACCTGCAGTGGCAGCAGGAGAGACTCAGGTTAGACATTAAGAGTCACTGAGCCGGGCACGGTGGCTGGCACACACTATGATCCCAGTACTCGGGAGGCTGAAGCAGGAGGATTGCCCTGAGTTCAAGGCCTGCCCAGGCTACAGAGTGAGAATGAAGGCAGCCTGCACTGACCCTGTCTCAAAACCCCTGTCCCCAAAAACCCATCAGGCTCGTCTGCTTGGGGAATAGCAGCTGGGGACAGTGAAGCTCCTCTGCTGAGCTGTTTAAGGGGAGCCGTGAGGTACTTTATTCCCAGGAGGTCTTATTAGTGAGAATCCATAAGAATAAGTTCTGACCTGCTCTGCCTGAGGCATGGGGACAGCCCCCAAGGGACAATCCGGGACAATTCCAAGCTGCCCCTAAGGTTCCTCCTGCCTCTGTCACCAACTGCTCCTGCCCCGTGCTCACCAGAGCAGCCCGTGGCCTCCTTCCCGGTGATGTAGCCCAGCTGGCAGTGGCAGACAAAGGATCCGGCTGTGTTCTCACAGTTGCCATGGAGACAGATGTGGGGGTTCAAGTCACACTCATTCACATCTGTGAAGGGACGGAATGAGGCCTGAGGGCAGGCGCTGGGGTCAGGGTGGAGGCAGCCTGCCAGGGTTCCTGAGCGCCTGTCATTGGTCCCCTCCTGAGGGTTTCCTCTCTGGGGAGAGAGAGCTCTGTCGGGGTCTCCTGCAGGGCAGCTGTGAGTGTTTTGTGAGCATTTCACAGCACATAGGCCACGGAATACACCGCCAGGCATTCCCAAGAGCACTGCAGGGTTGAATATATTTGGGGAATGAGATCCACAAAGCTATTTTCTTCTTGCAGGTCTTTTCAGTCTCTGCCTCAATGTGGATCTGTGACAGGGGAATGGGGCAGACAGTGTGGCCTATTTGTCTCCAAGCCCCTTTCTAGGGCGCTCCTTGAGACTCCTGTGAGCTGCAACTCTTAAGCTCTCCTGTGTAGGGTTGGCCTTGGTGAGGAGTTACACTGTATCAGGAGTTGCACTGTGGTAGAAGTTACATGGTTATAGAAGCCACATTGTTACAGGAGCTCCACTGTTGCATAAGTTATTACTTCGAGGTCCTTCCTGAGCTTCACCACAGCCCTGCTCTGATAGGGTATCCAGTACACAGCAGCGCCTCAGCCCCCAGGACCATCCTTGGGTAGGCAAGAACAGGAGGTGCTCTGATCAAAAGCCTGGGAGGTTCCTCAAACAAGGCTCAGAAGCCGGGAGTGATGGTGTGCACCTGTAATCTCAGTATTCGGGGAGGCTGAGGCAGGAGGATTGCAAGTGTGAACCCCACCTGGACAATGTAAGGACTTAGCATGACCCTGTCTTAAAATTAAAAAGGGATGTAGCTCACTGTGAAGGCCCTGGCTTCAGTCCCCATTACTACAAGATCAACAAAATAGCAAACACAAAGGGGAAGGGGGGCAAAGAAACAAAACAAAAACAACCAAAAAAAAAAACCCCAGAACTCACAGAACACAGTTCTAAGTCTTTCTCACCTTGCTCCCCTTCTCCAAAAACAAAACAAAACCAAGGAACCATAAAAACAAACCAACCCTCCCCAATACACTCTCTTTTCCTGGTAGTGATCTTAAAATACAACCTTTAGGACAGGGCACAACTCTTGTAAGTGTTGGGGACACACAGTGTTCAGTAAAAGGCATTCAGAACAAGGGTGGGCCGCTCCGCTTTGTGGTTGTTTTTGAGACAAGGTCTTGCACTGTATTCCAGGCTGGCCTTGAACTCACTATGTAGCCCAGGCTGGCCTTGAATTCACAGTGATCCTCCTGCCTCAGCCTCCTGAGTGCTGGGGTTACAGGTGTGCACCACCACACCTGGCCTGGGGGAGGCTCTGCTTCTATGAAAGGGATTCCTGGGGTTTAAAGAGTGGCTCTGGGTGCTGGTGGCCCCTGACCAGACCACCAAACACTGCTACACCTGTGGCAGGGAGGGACAAGGCCCGTGCCTCCCGCGGAGGGTGTGGGGTTCTGATGCAGCCTGCTTCCCGGGAGGCCTGGTCTCTCACCAACACACGTCTTCATGTCCAGTGTGGCTGTGAAGCCGCGGTAGCACGAGCAGCGGTAGCCTCCCAGCACGTTGGTGCACTGCCCCTGGCCGCAGATGTCCAGGTTCTCTTCACATTCGTCCACATCTGGGGGGGCAGGGACGAAGGGGGCTGCAGGCACACAAGGGCGCGGCGAGGGCCCGGGTCCTTCCCACAGGCCAGGGGCACTGCTAGGTCTGTCTGGCTCCGCTGGCCCGGGCTCCGCACTCTCTGAGCTCAGGACCGGGTTGGGGTCTGGCTGACACGTCCCAGGCGGAGGGAGGGGCCGGGCCCCCACCTGCGCACGCCCTGCCGTCGGGCAGCAGCGCGTAGCCCCGTCCACAGCCACACTGGAAGCTGCCCTCGGTGTTAGCGCAGTGCACCTCACAGCCACCGTTCCGGACTCCGCACTCGTCGGTATCTGCAGAAGCAGACGCGGGGCGGGGCTGGGCGGCGGGGGAGGGCGGGCACCCGGCTGGCCAGGCAGGTTCCCGGCGGGAGCGGGCTGGGGGAGGGGGTCAGCGCGGGGGCGGGCGCAGCCTCACCCACGCAGCCCCGGCGGTCAGGCGTGGCCCGGAAGCCGGCGAGGCAGGAGCACTGGAAGGAGCCGATGACGTTGACGCACCGGCCATGGGGACACAGGCTGCCGCTCAGCGAGCACTCGTCCACATCTGGGAACACGCGCGGCTCAGGGCCCACAGCCCGCTGCCACCTTCGAGACCGTGAGGCACACTCGGGCACACCCTCACACCCACACACACTCAAACACACTCACCCTTGGTAGACGCACACAACCACGCTCACACATGCACACCAGCACGCGTGATGGCACGGATCCCAGACGCACCCATCCTCGTGTAAATGTGCAGCCGCACCCAGATGTGTACGGAACTTGTGCGCACAGCCACGGAAATACGCCCCACGCTCGCTCAAGGCAAACACACCTCTGTGGTATGAGCACACCTCTGCACCTAAATACACATTCACGTCCTCTTGCACACCCTCCCATGCACACGCGGACACACAGATACACACTTCCACCACTCAGGTGTGCAGCCACTCACACACAGATGCACACTGATGCGTTCACAGCTTGCACATATGCTTCCCCATTTCACACTCACATGGACCATACATCCATCGTGTCTGTGCGAACACACACACACACAGAGGCCCATGCTCAGACACACACACACACTCTCCCAACATCGCACACTGACACGCTCACATTTGCACGCCGGCTGAACACTCACCCTCACAGGCAGTGCCCTGGGCTGTCAGCACGTGCCCAGGGGGACACTGGCACTCGAAGCTCCCCTCTGTGTTGGTGCAGGTGCCTCCCCGGCACAGTAGTGGGTCCCCTGCACACTCATCCACATCTGGAGGTGTGGAAAGAGACAGCGGCTGAAGACCCTGGCCCAATGGGCGACTGGTGCCGGGACGCTCCCCCATCGCCACCCCTGCCCCAGCGCTGGCCTGGATGGTCCAGGGGGTGGGGGCTTGGATGAGCTTTGTAGAATTGGGGCCGGGAGGCTGGCGCCCCTGGAGTCACTAAAGGACGCCCTGAGAAGCCCCCCTTCCCTTCAGGACGTGGGGAGGTTGAGGCTCAGTGCTATCCCGCAGCCTCAACACCCACCCGTGCCCTCCTTGCACGCCCGCCGCGCACACTCCCCCTCCCTCTCAGAGCTGCCCCAGGGCCCTGCACGCCTCGCCCTCAGCTTCTCTTCACCCTGCACCCTTGTCCTCTCACGGACCTCCCCAAGCTCCCCCGAACGGGGGCGTCCTCCAGGGGCACCTTCCGGTGAGTCATGTGGTCCTTTTGCATTGCTCTGGGGCTTTATTTTATGAACACCTCTGTTTCTCCAAGAGCTGGAGAAAAAATGTGTTACTCTTGGGGCGGGGGTGTCGTGCTGAGGATCAAACTCAGGGGTGCTCTACCACTGAGCTACATCCCCAGCCCTTTCCACTTCAAATTTTGGGACGAGGCCTCATTAAGTTGCCTAAGTGGGACTCGAACTCGCAAAGTTCCTCCTATCTCAGCCTGCCAATGTGCTGGGTGACAGGTGTGCGCCTCACACCCGGCCCAGGGCCCCAGTTCCCCCGGGGGGTGCTCAGAAGCGCTGTGCCCAGCAGGCCTGCAGCTCTGCCCCGTGCCCACGCTGTGCGGCGATATCCCTGTCGCCCAGGGCTCCCGCGCGTCCTGGCCCTGCGGCCGCTCACCCACACAGCTCCTCAGCAGTGGGGAGCTGCTGGCGTAGCCGTGGAAACACTGGCACCGGAAGCTCCCCGGGGTGTTGACGCAGGTGCCCTGGCCGCAGAGGTCGGGGGAGATGCGACACTCATCAATGTCTGTGGGGACAGGGGGCGTGGGGCGGGGCCGTGTGAGCACGGGGGAAGGACGAGGCCACGCCCACAGTCTGGCCTGCAGCGCCTCGGCAGGAAGAGTCGCCGCCGAGCTCAGAGAGGGTCACGCGGCACACAGGCAGCTTGGCAAGAGGCACCTAAAGGCTGGGGCGGCTGCTGCCTGCACATGGGACCCTCTCCCAGAGGCAGGGTGGGGGCCCACCTGTGCAGTTCCTCTCCTGGGCATCCAAGGTGAAGCCGCTGGCACAGGAGCAGCGGAAGCTGCCCACTGTGTTTTGGCAGGTGCCGTGGGTGCAGAGTCCGGGGAACGCCCTGCACTCATTCACGTCTGCGGCACAGAAGTCAGGTTTGTCCAGAAAGCCACCCTAAGCCTGGCTTTCTCACTCATCCCACCGCCCCCGCCCCCCGGCCTCCCAGGGCTCCGGCATCTGCGGCCCCTGCCCGGCTGCACCTTTGTAGAAGGGCCGGCCGGACAGGAAGTCGTGGCCGGAGAAGCCGGGCCCTTGGGGACACAGCCTGGCAAACTCCCGGGAGCCGGGCTCCGGGCACATCTCGCACGCGGCTCCCCACGCGGCCCCCACGGAGCAGCAGCAGACATCCATGCGGTACGTGCCGGGCAGGGGGACCCCACAGCCATCCTTGTCCCAGGGCAGGAAGCACAGCTCCATTCTCACATCTGCACGGAGGGACGGAGGGACGTCACGGGTCCTGTCCCCGCCAGTCAGAAGGGTGGGAAGAGGGCAGAGGGTAATCCCCGCATGCCCAGATTTCATGGCACCCCAAAGCACCACCCGATAATGACTAGCACTGCCTGGGTGCTTACTGGATACTGGGTTCCTCAACCCAGTTAAGCCCCCAAATTAAACTGAGAAGGGGGCTGGGGTGCAGCTCAGAGAGCACTTGACTAGCGCCTGTACCTCAGGCCTCCACAGAGGAAAAGCGAAGGGAAGAAGGGAGGGGGAAGGAAGAAAGGGGAGGGGAGGGGAGGATAAGACCAAACCCCAAAAGCAGAGAGGAAAACGCTATGATCATTTTAGGCATTTTACAGGCTAGGGAACCGGAGGGAGTGCAACACAGCTGGATAACTTGCCCAAGGCAGCACAGCTCCCAAGGGGTACAGCTGGGGCTCCAACCGTGTGGCCTGACTCCAGAGTCAGGTATTTAACCCACAAATCCCTCAGCAATCTGACAACAGCCATGTCTTCCTCAGCACCAGCCATGGTCTCAGACACGGTTCAGCCAACCATAGCCTCAGGGCTGGCTGCTTGCCTTGTTCTGTTTTATGACAAGATCTTGCCATGCAGTTAAGGCCGCCCTTGAACTCACTAGGTAGTCCAGGCCGGCCTTGAGCTTGTAGAGATCCCCCTGCCAGGCACTGGGACAATAGGCGCATACCACCGCACCCTGGCTGTTTTTATAAATAAAGTTTTATTGGCTCACAGTCATGGCCACTCATCTGCAACTGCTTTGGTGCTAGAATTTCGAGTTGAATGGTTGCCTCAGAGAGGTTGCAGCCTGTGAAGGCAACAGTGTTTACTCTCTCTAGCCAGGCCTGGTAGCGCATGCCAGTAATCCCAGCATGCTGGGAGGCTGAGGCAGGAGGATCACAAGCTCAAGCCCAGCCTGGGCAATTTAGTGACTTAACAAGACCTTGTTTCAAAATTAAAAAGTAAAGAGGGCTGGGGAAGGAGGTCAGCGTGAAGGCCCTGGGCTCCACCCCCAGTACCACAAAAGCAAACAAAACAAAAGTAAGGGACACGGTAATAGGGAAGAGCTGTAAGTGCGATTTCATGAGACTGTGGCGGTTGCAATTCTTTCTCGCCTCGGAAGGAAAACAGGTAATTCTGTGGGAGCCACAGAAGGAAGGAATCACGGGGCTGGGGAGAGTCCCTCCAGCCCCAGGAGCACCCGGAGGGCTGGGCGGGGCGAGGAAGGAGAGGCCCCGGGACTCACCCACACACAGCCTGCCCGAGGCGTCCAGCACCAGCCCCTGGGGACACTCGCAGCGGAAGGAGCCCTCGGTGTTGACGCAGCGCCCGCTCTGACACACGCCCGGGAAGGACCCGCACTCATTCACATCTGGGGGTGGTCAGAAGGAGGGGGGCTGGGCCTCTGCCAGCCATTCCCCTGGGGGTTCAGGGAGCCCTAGATGTCCTTGGAAAGGACAGATAGGGACCATGGTGGGGGCCGTGCGGGATCCCCAGGAGCCTTTTTGAGACAGGGTCTCGCTGTGTAGTCCAGGCAATCCTCCTGCCTCAGCCTCCGGAGTGCTGGGATTACAGGGATGAGCTGCCATGCCCAGTTTAGATCAGGCAATCTTTCCAGTGAGGAGCCCCACGCATTAGGTGCACCTGGCCCTGTGAGGGCTGAGGGGCTATGGAGAGGGGGAGGAGTTACCTTCGCAGGTGACACCCTCCCCGCGGGCGAAGCCGCGTGCACACACGGGGTCTGCAGTCGGGGGGACAGGGATGGAGAGAGTCACTGTCTGTGGCCAGCCCCAGGCAGGCTCTCCACCCAGGCACGCCAACAGCCCAGGCGCAGGGGCCCCAGCCGGCAGGGCCTCACCCGGGTCGCAGCGCTGGCAGGGGCTCCCCCAGGCGGCCCCTAGGGTAGCGCAGCACTCGGACCGCAGAGAGGCTCCCTGCAGGTTCACCTCGCAGTGCCCGTCCTGCATCTGGAGCCAGCAGGTCCCCTTGGTATTGTCTGGGGACAAATCGAGGGGCCACCTGGGTCATCTGTCTCACAGGCCCTGCTCATCCCTGTGTCCGCCCCACAGGGCCCCGGCCCCTGCAGCTCCACTCACCTAGGCACACGGCTCCCGAGGGCCCCAGCCGGTGCCCCGGGGCACATTCACAGGTGTAGGAGCCCGCCAGGTTCCGGCACACACCATTCACGCACGGGCTGGACACACACTCGTCGATGTCTGCGGGGAAAGACAGACCCCACTGGGTGCCGAGCCCCAGCTGCCCAAGGCCTCTGACCCCGGGGGACAGCTGCACCCGCCAGGTGCAAGCACAGGAGCGGGCCAGGTGCGCAGGAGAGAAGGGAGACAGAGCATCTGCAAGAAGGCGTGGGGACGGAAGTGCCGGAGAGACGGGGAAGGGGTGGGAGAAGGGTGAGGATGCTCTGCATCTGTGCACCAGCTCCCGAAAGGACTGTGGTCCTCGATCGCTGCACCCTGGGGCTGCCCCACAACACAGGGCGTTCCCTCACCGTGCGCGTGTGCGTGCGCGCATGCGCTGTAAGAGGCAGGGGAAACGAAACTTGTTCTTACGCCTACCCTCAACACAGTTCAGAACACTTCAGCGAGCAGACATGACTTTTGTGTTTGTTCCTATATTGATCATTTCTCTCTCACCAGCTGGTACCCTTTAATTCAGTTCTGACACTGGCTACCTGGAGTTAAAAATCAGATCGCACAAGTTAAGGAGTTAAGGGCTCAGGTTTTTGTTGGTTTTGTTTTGTCTTATTTTGAGACACAGTCTATCTATCTAGTCCAAACTGGCCTTGAACTTGTAGCGATCCCCCTTCCTCAGCCTCCCAGGTGCTGGGATTACAGGCGTGCACCCCCACACCTGGTTTAAGGGCCCAGTCTTACAAATATGCTCCAGCTCCAGACTCCCATTGCAAATCCAGGCCTCGGGAACTTGCAACAGACTCGCCATGAGCTGGGGCTCCCCACAACCCCCTTGATCATTTGTTAGAGCAGCTCACAGAACTCGGGAGCACTCGACCGTCCACCTACCAGTGCTATGGCTTGTATCTACACGGCCCCCAAAGCCTCCTGCGGTCAGAGGCGGGGCTTTTCGGAGGTGGCCGGATCTGGATGTGTGGTGCCCGGATTAAGGGTGCCCCGCCGTGGGTAAGGGCGGCACCAATCAAACGGTGAGTAGCTCGCACGGGATAAAGGGGAGAGCAAGGCCTGTTGCTGCTGTTTCAGTGCTTGTTACTTTGCGGCTTTGCGGCCTTCCGCCGGCCCTGCTTCGCCATGAACTGTCGCTGCTCTGCGGTGCCCCCTGCCACGCCACCCCACCTTGGAGCCAGCTGATTATGGACTGAAACCTCCACAAACCGTGAGCTGCGATAAACCTTTCCTCCTTTAATTTGGGGTGTTGGATATTTTGTCTCCACAACCAGAAAAGCAACTAAGACACCTCCATTATTCCAAAGGGCTTTGGGACGGGTACACAGGAGCAGTCAGGCGGAAGACATGTGCAGGGACAAAATGAAAGAGGACCGAGGGGTCACTGTCGGAAAGCTCCCTGCTCTCCAGGGTTCAGAGGTTTTCATGAAAGCTTCGTGATCAGGCATGATCACTTATTAACTCCATTATTAGAAGCTTGGAGCGGCTGCTCATCACAGCTTGGCTTTTTGAGTAACTGATGCCCATCCAGGAGCCACCAAGCGTCACCACATCAGAACATGGACGGTCCTATGACCCAGGAAACTGCCAGGGCTTAGGAGCTTTGTGTCAGGAACGGGGTTAAAAACCAACCAGCTATCAGAACAGAAGACGCCCCTACCACCCTCACTGCTCAGATTGCAGGGGACTTAGGGGCTCTCTGCTGGCCCGGGATGAAGGCCAGACATGCACTTCTTCCTATAAACCCCGGTGTCAGAGCACCCAGGCACGGACGCCAATGTGGGGGTCCCAGGGGTGCACAGTGTGCAGCAGTGACCCTCCAGGGCATCAAGGCATGGACACGACTAGAGTGATGGGCGGGGCAAAGCACAGAGCAGACAGAAGCCAGGGTGTGCTGGGGGCCGGCCCCGGAAGCAGGGAGCAGGTGGCTGGGCTATCTACGAACTATGTGTGTGTGTATGCATAGCACACGTGACACGTGTGTCTGTGTGCTCGGTAATGCAGCATGCATGTCTGTGTGTGCGTATCTGTGGATACACACCAGACGTAGCTTTCTCTGTGCGCACATTTGGCACATGTGTCTGAGTGTACACACGTGCACACTACATGCAGTGTGTGTGTCTGAGTGTGTGCGTGTATACAGAATGGGTGTGTGCACATGCGCACTATATGCAGTATATGTGTCAGGGTGTGCTCAAGTGTGCACGCACTATATCCGGTGTGCACAGCTAAGCGTGAGGACACATCCACGTGATATTCGATGTGCATATCTGATTGTGCACACGTGTGCATACACTGTACAGTGTGTACAGCTGAGTGTGCACGCTAAATGCAGTGTGGCGAAGCGTGTACATACGTGTGCATGGTGTGCAGTGTGCATATATGCAGGATGCAAAGCAGTGCACGTGAGTGTGCTGCGTGCGGTGTGTCTGAGTGTGTGGACATGTGCGCAGACTATACAGTGTGCGCATCGAGTGTGTGCATATCCACGTGGGTGCACATGACATGCCCCATGCGTGTTGTGTCTGTGCAGTGAGCTGTGGCATGTCGAGTGTCTGTGAATACAGGTACGCACGGGGTTCTAGCATGTGTGTGCCCACTCATGCACACGTCAGCCCCAGCGTGTTATCTAAGCACGCATGTGTGCAACCCCTGTGTGCACATGCTACAGAACCGTGCCCAGGAGCTGTGCCTTCACAGCTCTCCTTGTCCTGCCGGAAGCGGAAGCCCTGGGGGCAGGAGCAAGTGTAGCTGCCAGGGCTGTTTCGGCACCGCCCACTGTCACATGGGGAGGAGCCGCGGGCACACTCGTCCACGTCTGTGGGCGGTGAGAGGATGTTAGGGTTTGGATCTGGATGTCCCCCAAAGCCTCACACAGTCATGGGGCGGCTTCTAGAGTTTGTGATTGGTCATGGTCCAGTGCTGGGATTATGGGTGTGAGAGCTACACCCGCCCTGGGGCGGGCAGCCTGCATGCAATACAAGGGAGGGAAAAAGGCTTGCTCTCTGCTGCTCCTCCCTTTTGCTCTTGTTGCTTTTGCTATCTTCCACTGCCATGAACGGTTGCCCTCTGCCATGTGCCACTCTGCCTTGGAGCCAGCTGAGTATGGACTGAAACCTCCACAAACTGTGAACAAACTAAACCTTTCCTTCCTTCATTTTGGGCGTCAGGTATTTTGTCTCAGCAATGACAGAAAAGTAACTTAAGACCGAGGGTGAGGGACCAGCTGTGGGAGTAGCCCTTCCTGAGTGTCCCCACACGCTCACCAGTGCAGTCCTTGCCCGTGGCGCCTGCCTCGTAACCCGGGTTACAGATGCACCGGTAGCCGCCGTTCAGGTTCTTGCACACACCGTTGGTGCAGGCCTCAGGGTCAAGGGCACACTCGTTGATGTCTGCGGTGGGAAGAGAGACAGCAGCTGCCCTGGCTTTCTGGGGGTCTCCACCAGCCAGCCCTCTGCAGGCATGGGTGGCTCATCCGGGAATTCAACCCAGGATGGAAAATGCCCCATCACACCTGTAATGAGCATTTGCAGACATTTTTCTTGTCATGACTCCCTAGACGATATAGTATAACAACTATTTACATAGCGTTTGCACTGTGTTAGGTATCCTAAGTCACCCAGGCGTCCTGAAACCCATGGCTCACGGGTACCCAGGGGTGACCAGAAAAGCAATCACAACGGCTGACATCCCAGGTGCCGACCATTCTCTGCCAAGCGCTGTGCCAAGCACAGCAGCCGCAGCCTGCTGCCACCCTCCCAGGTCACCAAGGCAGTGCACGCTGGCCCCCAACTGCAGGAGTCAGGAGAGGAATGCCCGGGCCTCCCCTCCCTGTGAAATGGGTCCTGGCACCACCCCACTTTACAAAGAATCAGAGGCAGGGGGAAGCAACTTGCCCGAGGTTACTCAGCCAGTGAGTATTGGACCAGGGTTCCAACCTGGGGGCCTGGCTGTGGCACAGGGGGTCAGGCTTCCGGCCTGCCCGGTGGCCCAGTGGTGGGTGGAAAATCCAACCCTATCCCAGGTATTTTCATTTCTGCTCAGGCATAAAAGCTGTGCCAGGAGGAGATGTGAGGGGACCACACCTTTTCTATTTGTACACAATGCCTGCGTTCCTCGTGCAGAGTTGGTACACATCACACGGGCGTAACACGTGAATCCCTTTCTCCTCTCCTTCGCCATGCCTCAATCTCTTGATCTCCTTTCCGTCTGAGAGAGAACTATCTTTCTACTTCCTATTATCTATCTCTTATTTTGCCCTTTATTTATAACTTGGGTTTCTCGTAGAAGAGAAACTATGTGATATTTAAGCTTGTGTGCCTGATTTATTTCATTTAACACTATGGTCTTAAGGTGCATCCGCTTTCCTACACGCGACTCAGGCTTTTCTTTCTTTATGGCAGAGTAGTGTTCCGTGGTGTAGAAACATCACATGTTCTTTATCCATTCATTTGCTGATGGGTGTGTAGGCCACTTCCACAATTTAGCTGTTACGAGGTGTGCCGCTATCAACATGGGTATGCATGTATCCCGGTGATATGAGGACTTTAACTCTTTCGGGAAGATACTTCGACAGGGAATAGCTGGGTCAAAGGGAATTTGTAGCTTTGCTTTTTGAGAAATGTCCACACTGATTTCCACAGTGGCTGTACCAGTCTACACTCCCACCAGCAGTGGAGAAGGGCCCCTTTCTCCCCACAGCCCCTCCGGCACAGTTAGCAAACAAGTGAACAAAGACCCATGCAGGGACTTCCTTTCCCAATTTCGGCTTCATGGCAAAGACCCTTGGGCTGAGACCTGCTGGGCCTCGGGGGATCCCCGTGGGGGATCACGGAGCGGGTGCAACAGAAAACAGAGCCCGGGAGGGAAGGGGATTGAGGATGAAGCGCAGCTCTCCCTACCCCGTCTCTGTCTATTCCGGGTACATCATGCCCCTCTCCAGTTCCTGCGTGGGAGTCCTGTCCCCGAGGACCGAAGTGTGACAACAGTGAGGGACAGATCAATTACAGTGAAGGCATTAGGGTGGGGTCCACTTCAAAAGGACTGGTGTCCTTGTAAGTGGGAAATTCACACGCATGCACGCACACACGCACACACACAGAATCTGTGTGAAGGCAGCAGAGATATGAGGAGACTCCTACAAGACAAGGATCACCACGATACCATGGGAAGTGAGGGGAAAAGAAGCCTGGAGCATTCTCCCTCAGGGCCCACAGAAGGAAGCAAGCGGTCCAGCCGATGTGGTGTCACTGTCTGTAATCCCACCACTCTGGGAGGCTGAGGCAGGAGCACTGCAAATTCAAGCCCAGCCTGGCCAATTTCGCAAGACCTGGAAGCAGCCGCATCCATACCCAGACCTCAGACTTCCTTCCCCTGGAATTGTGTTGGAATACATTTCTGTTGCTGAAGCGAGCTGGGCTGGAATTCGTAATGCTACGGCAACGCTAGAAATTGGACACCATTCCCAGCCACATCCCAACTCTGCCTAGCTGTCATCCCCAAGGCCAAGGTTTGGAGGGGCGGGTCCCGCGGACCTAGCTGTCCATGGTGATGCCCAGCCCGCTGCGGCAGAGAGCCTGGAATTCTGCTGCAGGGAAAGAGCCCAGCCAAGGGATGGAGGGCTCCCCATGGGAATCGCAGCCATATCCCTTGCTAAATCGCCTTGACCCAGGGCACAGTCTGGGGCTCAGATGTAACCCCCAGCCTCCCCGGCAAAGCCCGTGTGGAAAGAGGCCTTCACCCAGGACAGCCAAGCCCCAGGTCCTTTTCTACCCCAGGGGCAGAGAGCTCAGGACAGGCAGAGGATGGGCGGCCGGGGATGGGCGGCCGAGGGCTCACAGGAGATCCTGGCAGGACATCGCTGACAGGGCGCCCCAAAGCCGTGGCCCGGGCTGGCACAGCAGCAGACTTGGTGACGGGTGCCAGGGAAGGGGTGGGCACACACGCCCTTCTCCACGGCCTGGTAGCACGTGCTGCCCACGTGGGTGTCCACGCACACGCAGCCGTCCGTGCCCAGCGCCAGCCCCGTTGGACACCGGCAGCGGAAGGAGCCCTTGGCGCTGCCACAGCAGCGTTCCCGAAGATGCCCGACGTCCGGCACTCGTCGATGTCTGGCACGAGGGGCCCCGCTGGGTTGGGGGCCCACACCGGCATGCCCTGCCTGCCCTCTTCCTCCTCCTCCTCTGCTCCCTCCCTCTCTCCTCCCCACTCCTTTCTTATTTATTGGTTTTTGGGGACAAGGTCTTGGTATGTATCCCAGGCTGGCCTCTAACTTGCAGTGATCCTCCTGCCTCAGCCTCCCAGTGCCAGGATGACAGCTGTGCACCACCATGCCCAGCGCCACCCCTTCCTCTGCATCACCCCTAAGTTCAGCCTCCAGCCTCACCCACACAGTGGCGGCTGCTGGGTGCCAGCAGGAAGCCAAGATTGCAGAGACTCGTGAGGCTGCCGTCTGTTGGGACAGACACCACTGGGACACGTGGGACCCGCAGCACATGTGTTCTTGTCTGGGGACGCCAGGGGGCTCGGCTGGGTCCAGGCAGGGAGGCCCGCCCTTCCTGATGGTGGCTCCTCTCTCTTCCGTCCCCATGACCCAGGTCTGGGCACCCGAAGGACCTTCCCTGGGGTGTGACTGTCTGACCACAACTGCCTGTGCAGTTGTTTCTCAGTATCGGCAGAGGACAGTTTCCAGGAACCCCTGGATAGCAAAATCTGCAGGTTCTCAAATACCTTATATAATGTGTGGTATTTGCATAGCACCTACACAGTCCTCCCTCCTATAGACATTTTGTTCTGTTTTTTTTGAGACAGGGTCTCACTATCTATTCCAGGCTGGCCTTGACTTCACTACATAGCCCAGGCTGGTCCTGAACTCAAGGTGATCTTCCTGCCTCGGCCTCCCGAGTGCTGGGATGACAAGTGTACACCATCATGCTGGACAACCAGACTTTAAATCATCTGTAAGTGTCTTAGAAAACCTAAAACAATGTAAATGCTAGGTAACTGAGTATCATGCTGTACCGTTTAGGGAGTTAGAGCAAGCGAAAAACCCGTGGATGTTCAGTATGGATGGGATTTATTTTCTGAATGTACTTGACCCAAATGTGGTGGAATCTGCTGATGTGAAAGCCCCAGCACAGGAAGCTGCCCAGGTCGCTCCCCTGGGGAGTGACTGAGGAGCTGCTGGTCAGGAGGCACCTCGAGTCCTGACATTCAGTGGGTGATTCATAAACACATGTTCAAAGTTGCAAAAATGAAGCAGTGATTGCACAAGATCAGAGATATCCTAAATGCTCATTTAAAAATGGCTAAAATGCAAAATTTGGTCATGTGTATTTTGCCAGTTTTTTTAAAAATGCGGCAAAGATTAAATAAATGAACCCAGATATTGGAGCGCATCCCGTAATCCCAGCTACTGTTAGGAGGCTGAGGCTGGAGGATCACAAGTTCAAGACCAGCATAAGCAACTTGGCAAGACCTTATCTCAAAAACAAAATTAAAAAAAACAAAACATTTGAGCCAGGGATACAGCTCAGCAGCACAGCGCCTGCCTGGCAAGCACAAGGTCATGAGTTTGATTCCTGGTACCAAAAAAAAAACAGTTTGAAGATATAGCTCAGGGATAGAATATGGCCCAGGATTTGATCCCCAGTAGTAGAAAAGAAGAAATTAAGTAAATGAGATGGTGGTTGTATGATATCCAGAATCTACTAAACTACATCAAATTGTTCAGTTACGAATGGTGAAAAGAACACATATGATCTTATGTATAATTTGCTGCAATGATATAATGCAGAAAAAAACTTATTAAAATACAGTAAAAGAAGTAGTTGGGTATGGTGGTACACACCTATATTCCCAACACTCCGGAGGCTGAGTTCAAGGCCAGCCCGAACCACACAGTGAAACCCTGTTTCAAAAAACCAACCAACCAACCAATAAATAAGTGCATGTAGTGGTGATTGTACAACACTTAGGTTGTGTGAATCACACCTCAATTTTTAAAACAGGAACAAAGACAGCCAATGGAAGAAGTGTGATTTAAAGGAAGTGGTAATAGCCGGGCATGGTAGTGCAGCCTGTAATCCCAGCACTCGGGAGGCTGAGGCAGGAGGATTGTTGCGAGTTTAAGACCAGCATGGACTACAAAGTGAGCTCAAGGCCAGCCTGAACTGCATAGTGAGACCCTGTCTCAAAAAGACAAAAAACAAAACAAAACAAAACAAAACAATAAAACAGGAAAGTGGCAAGTGAGATCTGAGTTTGCTAAAGCAGCAATGGCTAAATATTAAAAGATGGCTCCTACAGAGACAAAACGAATGAAGAAATGCCCACACAAAACCTTCGTGTGTTCAGAGCATCACTGTCAACAACAGCACAGTGTGGAAAGGACCCCCGTGACCGTCCATGGACCAAAGGGCAAACCCAGCACAGCCCAGATTATTACTCAGCCATGAAGAACGAGGCACCGACACACACTCCAGTGTGGATGGACTTTGAGGACATCACATGCAGGGAAAGAGGCCAGACATAAAAGGCCGCCTCGTGTGTGATTCTGTGTGTAGGAAATGTCCAGAACATGCAAACCCACAGGGACAGGAAGAGGACAGCCCATGCCTAGGTTTGGGGGGTGGAGGGCAAATTACCAAGTGCTAACGGACATGAGCTTTACCTATGGGGAAACTGCAATGGTGATTGTACAGCTCTACACAAATACTAAAAACTGTGATTTTATTGTTGTTGTTGTTGATTTGGGACAGTATTTTACTATGTATTCCAGCCTGGCATTAAACTCACTAGGTAGCCCAGGCTGGCCTCGAACTCACAGCAATCCTTCTGCCTCAGCCTCCCGTGTGCTGGGATCACAGGCATGCCCCACCACCACTGGCTTTAAAACTTGGCTGATTTTATTATGTATGTAAATTATGTAGCAATAAAGATACTTAATTTTCTTTAAATGAATGACTACAGATGATGAAATCCCTCCCCAACAGGGACTTTAAGGCTTACCATCTCAGACAAAGCGACACAAGAGACTCCACTACAGGGCCCCGTGCTCTCAGTCCCACCCCACGCACACTCGCGGGGAAGCCAGGGCAGGGCGCTCTCCAAGGTCCTGACCCCGCCCCGCCCGCAGCCCCGGGGTTCTGGCCTCTGCAGGGACGCAGCAGTGAGCCTCACCGGCCCGGGGGCAGGCAACTGACCCCTGGATCTTGCTGCAGAAGCCCTGCGGAGGCGGACAGGAGACGCCAGGCTCCCCAGGTGCCTTGCTGGGCTCGGAGAAGGGAGCAGAGGAGACGCGGTAGAGAGGGTGGGGGGAGAGGGCGCAGGGCTGACGGTTCGGGATGGCCGCAGAAAGCCGCGCCCGCAGCCTCCACTCACCCACGCAGTTCCTGCCGCTCGGGCCCAGCTCGAAGCCCGCACTGCACACACACCGGAAGCTGCCCTCCGTGTTGACGCAGCGGCCCAGGTGGCAGAGGCCACCGCCGACGACACACTCATCCACATCTGAGGGAGGCGGCAGGCGGGCAGTCAGCGGGGGCCCCACTGCCTGCCCCATCCTCGCTCCCTGACGCGCACAGTGGGCTGTACCCGCGCACACCAGCCTCGTGAGCGTGGCTTGGAAGCCCTGGTGGCACAGACAGTGCTAGGAGGCAGGGGTGTTGACACAGTCGCCATGGCGACAGGGGCTGCTGATGCACTCATCAACCTCTGCAGGGAGAGGACCCTGAGCCCCTGCCCGCCAGCTATGGCCACCCCCACCCCCGGCCACTGCCGCTCACCGATGCACTGGCCCCGCACGTCCTGGGAGTAACCCACGTTGCACTCGCAGCGGTAGCTGGAAGGGGTGGGCACACAGCGGCCGTTGAGACACAGGTTGGTGAAGTGGCGGCAGGCGTCGATGGTCTCGTTCAGGGCCGCCGTACCTGCAAACAGGGCCGCCAGGGGCACGACAGCAGCATCAGAGCCCCCTGTCCCCAGTTTGCCTCCGGACCCTGCCATCTCCTATGAAGCGGGGACCCTGCTCCTATGCCACAGCTCTGCCACCAAAGTCGAGTCACACCACAGACTGAGGCCCCAAGCCAGGCCCAGGTCCTCACTGCGGAGTAGGAGCCCCAAAACCTCGATCTAGGATGCCTCTCAAGCCCAAAGAGACCCAGACTCAAGCTGGGGCTCAAGGCCCAGACCCTGGGTCTGGACCAGACTTTGAGGACCAGATTCCCAAAGGTGCACAACTCCAAGACGGGCTCTAGAGTCATCTCTTAGTGTCTGCAGAAGACCGGTTCCCGGACCCCGTGGGTACCAACATGCTCGACACTCAAAGCCCTCACACAAAATGATGTGGTGTTAGCCTGGAACCAGCACACGTTCCCCCTAGACTTTTTTCCCTCAAGACTGAGGGTGGGACTCAGGACCTTTTGCACTGAGCCACCTCCCCGGCCTCTTTCTTATTTTTTTATTTTGAGGGATTGCCTCCGTAAGTTTCCTAGGGAGGGCTCCAATCTTGCCATCTTCCTGCTTCAGCCTCCAAGAGTGCTGAGATGACAGGTGTGCCCCCCCCTCCCAAACCCACCCCCTCTTAGACTTTAAATCTGCTCAGGATGACTTCTAATACCTGATACAATGTACACACTCTGCACAGAGCTGTGTCACTGTATCATTTAGGAATGCCAAGGGGAAACTGTCTGTGCATATTCAATGCCCACGCAATTCTTTTTTCCACAATATTTGCAATCCCAGGTTGGTTGGACCCCAGGACGTGGAATCCTCAGACACAGAGCTGATCATACTCTGCCCTTGCTAGGTGAGGACAAGGACAAGTCAAGAAGAAGGCACGGGGGCTGGGGATTTAGCTCAGCAGCACAGCGCCTGCCTGGCAAGTACGAGGTCGTGAGTTCGATTCCCGGTACCGGGGGAAAAAAACGAGAAAAAAAAAGGAAAAGAAGGCACGGGACAAGAATCAAGAGGCCAGAGGGATCAAGGTGTCAAAGAAACCAAAAGATAAAGTCACTTGTACCCTCAAGACCCCCAGGCATGCACAGACCCAAAAGCACGTCCCTGGCCTGCTGCAAGCTCGTCTGCATTGCAGTTCCGACCCTGCCCAGTGGGCTCTGGACGCCATGACTTCCTCTGCAAACAGGGCCATCTCCTATGGCCCTGCACACCTTTCACAGTCGAAACCCCCAGCCGTGTTGGGCAGAATCAGGTCCCCCGTGACGCCTGTCAATCCCCAGCCTTCCACAGCCCCTGAACCTCAAGAGACCAAATGTGTCACCTGCCCCTAAGGGGCTGTGTGCCTCCTCACGCGGCCTCTGTGTGTGTGGAGTATACTTTCTTTGTGTGCGTGTGTGTGTGTGTGTGTGTGTGTGAGAGAGAGAGAGAGAGAGTGAGGGAGCGAGGGAGAGAGGGAGAGAGGGCGAGAGATGGGGTCTCACTATGCAGTTCAGGCTGGCCTTGAGCTCACTTTGTAGCCCAGGCTGGTCTTGAACTCACAACGATCCTCCTGCCTCAGCCTCCCAAATGCTGGGATTACAGGCATGCACCGCTATGCCCAGCAAGCGTACTTTTGCTTTTAGTAAATCTTCCTTGGCTACTTTTTCTGAGTATCCTGCGCATTCTCTGTTGGGGACACCAAGAATGTGGAAACAACTCTCCAAGACCCCCTATCTGATAAAACTACTGTCCAGGTCACGATTCTTGCTCCAAAGCTTCTGTCCAGAGCCCCTCTGTGTCCCAGCCTCCCCCTCCGAGTCCCGGGCCTCACCGATGCGGGGGTTAACGGGGCCCAGGCGGGGGACCCCACGCCCACTGGATCCGTAGGGGCTGTGTCGTGCAGGCCCCAGGGCAGGACCCCTGCTGTTGGACCGAAAGCCGGGGAGACCAGGGAAAGGACCCACGTGGGAAGGCGGCGGCTCCTGGACACACAGCCGCTGGAATTCATCTGCAGAGAGAAAGGGCTGGAGGCCAGGCCCTTGGTCCCATCCAGGGCACCCCACCTGTGAACCACAGCTGTTACTCACCAGAGCCCCTGGAGGGACACAGCTCCGGGGCCGAGCCAGCCGCCCAGCACCTGCCCTTGTCACAGCAGCATTGCCTGCGAGTGTAGTGGCCAGCGAGGTCCGCAGCACAGCGACCCCCAAATACCACCGAGAAGCAGGTGCCGCCGCGGAGGTCTGCAAAAGGGCCAGCGGTGCGGCTGTCAGCACCAGGTAGCGGTCAGACCCCTGCAGCCAGGCACGAGGGCGCATGCCTGTCATCCCAGCAAGCTTAGGAGGCTGAGGCAGGAGGCTCACAAGTGCAAGCCCTGCCTGGGCAACTTAGTGAGTTAGCAGGTAGCTCCGTGTGAAGGTCCTGGGTTCGGTCCCTAGTACCAGGAAAAGAAACTCTGGCTGCACCTGCACTGCCTGTAGAATGGGTCTCCTTACCTACCCATGCTTCAGATGTCTTGTCATTAAAATGCAGATACTCCAAGCACTGACCCTACCTCAGAAGACTGCTATCCACATCAGATGGAAAATCTGGTACGTGGCTGATCTTTGCTTACTGTTATCTCCTACTTCCAAGCTTTCCAAATTCTCACAGGGAGGTAGATTTGGGGGCTTTTTCCAGACCAGCATTCCAACCTCCAAAGTTGGCACGGAGAGCGAGCTCCCTGGCGACACGGGTACCCAGCCACATCGAGGATGATCGCTCGGTGGGCAGGGGGCGGCCCAGCGGGAAATCAAACAGGAATGCCAAGATTTGTACCTGTGTCCTTGAGTGCTGGCCTTGGACATTACAGGGGTGCCTAAGAGACCGTGAACTTGAGAAGGATCCCCTCAAAGAGCAGTGTGGTGGGTTGATGGCCACTGCCCCTGGGGAGACCGAGGCAGAGGCTCCCTGCGTGTCCATGAGAACCATGGACCCCCGCCTGCCTCCCACCAAGCCCTCCGGCCCCAGGGCATCACGTGGTGGTCAGATTTCTCAGGCTCTGCTAGCGATTATTTTTAGTTTCGAACTCCATCCGTCTTGGCCAGTGGCCCACAGTGGAGAAATCCCTCCCGCCAGCCGGGAGGGCCGCTGGCAGCCGCCCCTGCCCTGCCTGGAGCAAGGAAAACACTCAAATCTTCCCACCTTCCCTCCCACCGTGCACCTGGGCCCTCCAGGTGTGTGCGGGGGCGTCTAGATTCCTCCCTCCTTCCCTCTGGCCTGGTGGCACCCGAGAGGGGGCTGGGCCTGCCCAGAGAGCGGGGGTCAGCAGACTGTTCAAGGTCACCCAGCTGCAGAGCCTCCAAGCCCAGGGGAGCTAGCAAGCAGTTGACTCTCAAGCAGAGAAGACAGAATAAATGAATTTTCATGAACAAGACTGCTGCGGCTCTAGCTACCCCTGCGGCCACGGCCCCCGTCAGTGTCCCTGCCTCAGCCTCCCTGGGGTCCTGCTCGTCTCTGTCTCCATGACTGCGTGTGGAGTGGCCGCTGAGTAACAGCCATCTACAGCTCACTCCACGTATCGAATCTTGCGTAACCCTTACCACCACCACTTGTGGTTGGAACTGCCATTGTCCCCATTTTCTGGTTGAGGAAACCGAGGCACAGAGCACGTAGGTCGGTCGCCCAAGGTCACAGAACCTGGCAGCGCCTCAGGCAGCAGTCAGAACTCGGGACTGTAACCAAAGCCGGGCTCTGGGGGCAGCCAGACTCATTGGGGTGCAGGCTGCGTTGTTCAGCAGCTGGGAGGGGGCCCTGGGCCTAGCCCGGGTGGGGGACGCACCCAGAGGTAGCCACCCTCCCCTAGTGCCGGCCGTCACGGCTCCCAGACGCGGAGACCGACAACATCTGGAGCTCGCCACGCAGGACTGGCCCAAGTCCAAACACAATATTCCCAACCCCGCCTGGTACGGCACAGCCTGAGGGGGCCCGGGTGATGCTGGGAAACCGCCAAGTCCTCTCCCCTCTCCCCAAACCAGGACCCCGCACCCCCATTTCCTGCCAGCTCTGTCAGCTCCAGGCAACTCCTACAGCGTGGGGAGCGGCCCATCCAGACAGCAGAAGGGAGTCTCCCCTGCCGAGCGTGGGAGGAGGGCGCCGGGGAGGCTGGGCCCGAGCCCCTCACCCGGCTCTGGGCCTGGGGAGCTGCGTGTGGGCATTTCGCTGGTCTCCACTCTCGTGTCTACACCTCAGTTTCCCATCTTGAAAATGGGGTGTTCTTGAGCCTTTCGGGTGGAAGAGGGGATAGACAGACAGTGGTGGGGGGCAGAGGGCGAGAGGAGCAGAAAGCAGTGGAGATGGAAGGCACGTGGTCAGAGGGGGGCACAGGGATGGAAGCTCGGGGGTCAGCTGGGGACACGGAGCTGAACACCAGGGGTTGGAGTGGGGCATGGCGGGTCAGAGGGGGGTCACACAGGAGCACACAGATGAAAACTAGACGGTCAGAGGGGACACAGCGTTAAAGTAAGAAGCCAGAGGGCGGCGGTGGGGCAGTGATCCAGAAAGGAAAGGTCTGAGGGGCAGAGGGGCAGGGCGTGGGGGTGAGTTGTGGGGTCAAGAGGCCGAGACAGGAGAGCAGCGCGCTCCGGGGCCCAGAGACGCAGAGCGGGAGGGTCCCGGACTGGGGTCCGTGACAGCGCAGAGGCTGATGGGTAGGAGCCGGACAGCCAGGGTGGGGGTGGGGAGGGGGGGCGGCCCCGGTCCAGAAAGGGAGAAGGACATCGAGAGCAAAGGGCTAGAGCGGCCAGGGAGCAGCGTTTCAGAGATGGCTCGACAAGGGCTCTGTCTCTCCCCCACTGCGTACCCGGCAGCCCCCTCGCCCACCTCACCCAGGCAGCGGGTGCCGTCCAGGCTGCTGGCAAAGCCTCGGGGACAGGTGCACACGTAGCTCCCGACCGTGTTGGTGCAGTCGCCCCCGAAGCAGAGGCTGGGGACGCTGCGACACTCATCTAGATCTGCAGAGAAAAGCCCAGTGAGGGAGTGAGAGGCCCGTCAGCGGGAGGAACCAAGGCTGCTGAGGGCTCCCCAGGGGCTCCGTTTCCCCGCAGTACCCCACAACTGACCTTGGCAGGCCCCCGTGTGGATATTGAGGAGGAAGCCGCGGCGGCAGGGGTGTGGCTGCGGAGGGCAGAGCTCGCACGGGAGGCCCCAGGCCCGGCCTACAGTGGCGCAGCAAAGTGCTCTGGTGCACATGAGGCCGGTCAGCTGGTGCTGGCACCCCTCGGGGCCCCCTCGGCTAAAGCAGGGTCCCGTCCGGTAGTCTGTAGGACACACAGACATGGACGGCTGGCCGCAGACCGAGCCCCTCTGCACCAACGCGCCAGGCTTTTCCCTGACCACAAGCCTCTCCTCACGCTGTCTCCCTTTCTGGATAGAATGCTTTCCTGCCGTTCCCCACCTAACGAACTCTTATTCACTCCTCAAAACCCTTTTCCTTCAACGCATTCCCCGACTAAACCCCAAAGAGTGGCTAGGGTCTCTATGCCCACAAAGCTCAGCCTATGTCTGGACAAGCACCCCTCAAGCAGAGATCTGGGTACCTGGGTCTCGTCTGTGAGCACACATCTGGCTCTGCGAAGTCTCCCAGATTTTGGAAGGACCTACCGTCTGCCCAAGAGCTCTAGGCTCACAATACCACACCCGGGGACCCCAGGCCCAGCCCAAGGTAGCCCCCTGGGTTCCCCCCTGTGACTCCCTGTCTCCACCCGGCAAGTGTTTCCAATCACCAGCTGGCGCTGCACCAGAGGCCGCAGCCACGCCCACCCCAGGCCCGGATGGGGGAGGGGCTGCGGAGCCCCCAGAGCCTCGCGCGGACGCCGCTCACTCCAACCGGTGCGCGTTGTTCTCCTCCTCAGCCTGCCCCTTCCGCGCCAGAACTTTCCAGGACACCATTACATCAACGGCTCACTTCAGGTGACCCCACCCACGCAACCGGGGGTACACCCTGAAGAGCCGAGGTTCGGTAAGAGGGAGTGTGTCCCTCTAGTGAGTGACCCTCCGCGATTCGCCCGCGGGACCCTTCCTCCGGGCAGCCCTCCCTGACTGCGCTCCGCGGAGCTCCCGGGTCTGCAGCCTTCCCGCCCCGCCCCACTGCACATTGAACCCCGGGGTTCCCGTTTTGTTTCCAGATCACTTCTTCCTGCCTCTAGGACACCAGGCTTTTTCCCAGGGGGCTCCAACACGGGGCCTCGCTCAGAGCCAGCGGGTAACAGATGTTCTGGAGGACGGATGAGCGCACGGAAGCAATGTCCTCAGGCTGCCCCGGCGGCAGCAGAGAGGCCAGCTGGACCCTCTCAGGGCCGGGCAGTGTCTCCACCCCTCCCCTCCAAGTCCCCATCGCCCCGTCTTCGCCGGTACCTCGCTCACACTGAGGACCCAGGAAGCCGTACACGCAGGCGCAGAGGTTGGGCCCGACGCAGCGGCCCCCGTTGTGGCAGCCGCGGTCACAGATGGCTGCGGAAGGACAGGGGCGGGTGACCAGCAAGAACTGCGGCTGGAGCGAGCCGTCTTCACCCAGGGATCGGTGACCTGACCCAGCCTCAGGGACAGGGCATCGACAACACGCGTGTCTCCTCTGGTCTCCGGTCCCCCGGGAGGGAGGCCGGGGTGGTGGGCAGCGGGCTGCAGACGCCACCCTCGGGGACGCACTGGGTGCGGGACCCCGGGTACTCACGCTGCCCACACACGGTGCCCGTGTAGCCTCCCTGGCACAGGCAGGTGTCCCCGCGGCAGCTGCCCCCGTTCATGCAGCTCACACTGCACCCTGACCCTACGGACCGGGAGGGACAACACGGGAAGGTGGACTGCGAGTGCCCGACCCTGCGCTGGCCCTCGGGAGGCTGGCCCGGGTGCCCGCAGGCATCCAGAAGCCGAAAGCCTCGTCCCGTCCCGTGCAACCCGCTCGCCTTGGCTCAGCCCGCGGCGGGGCCAGCGTCCGGTCTGCACAGGTGCTCAGGTCCGGCGAGCAGAAGCGCCCCCCGCAGGGGCGCCTGCAGACAGCGGGGGCAGCAGGCGGGGCGCTGAGGTGGGCCCTGATGGTCACACGGCAGCTCTGAGCACGCACACCCACATGCACACGTGCACACACACGCAGTCGGTTTATACGGCGCTCCCCGAGTCCGGGCTGGGCAGGGGAGGAGAGCCCAGCCCTGGGATTCTGCTAGCGCCGTGCAGAGAGAAGCTTTGGGACTTAGGCTGGAGGGGTGAGGTCCCGGATTCCTGTCCTAGGAATGGGCTCCGGTTCCAGAGACAGAGAGACCGGAGGCCAGACAGAAAAATTCAGAGAGGCCGGGAGACACACTGACGACGGGCACAGAGACCCCGGGGGTTCAGGGCAAAGGACACGGGCGTGGCGGGACACCGGGGAGCCGAGGCTGGACGCAGCGTTAAGTCCACTTGCAAACAGGGCCCGGCTTGCAGGCAGCTGGCATTTGGGGCCCCTGCCTCAGACCCCGCAGTCCACACCCCCACTTCCGGAAGGCACCCGCACTCACGCACGACGCACTGGCCCCCGCCGGGCAGCGTCCTCCAGCCGGGGCAGCAGTAGGCGTGGAAGCGGGAACCGCACACGTTCGGCCTTCGGGGACAGCATGACGGGACCGGTGAGCCCCTGCCTGGCTAGACGTCCCCAGGACTGTCCTCCACCCGGGACACCCCAGGGCGCTACGTACCCCAGCAGGATGCCGGGGCTGCCTCGCCTCCGCACGCGTCCCGCACCTGCAGGCCGCACTGCCCCATCCCAGTGGCCCTGGCCACCCGCCACGGAGGACAGGGCCGCCCACGCCAGCAGGAGCCGAGCCGAGGGTCCCCGGGCCATGCTGAGCGCTAGCCCCTCTCCTTGCAAACAGGACTCTTCCCGTCAGGACGTCCTCCTGGAGACTGCGGAGAGGAAGTAGGGTTAGCTCGGGTGAGCCCCGGGCCAAGGGAGCCGAGGGGAGGCGGCTGGGACCGTGGGAGCAAGGCGACACCTCCCGGCCTGGCTTAGGAGCAGGTGGCAGTCCGGGCAGGCTTCTGGGAAGAGGTGTGGAGCCTCACAATGCAAAGAAGGGTCCTGGGGCAGAGGGGCACCCCGAGAGGAGAGCGCAGGGCAGGAGGGGAGAGGCCAGGGGCCAGAGAGGTGTGGCAAGAGTGGACGCAGCTGCCATGAGCCTCCGCCCCGACGTCGAGGACGATGAGGGCCCTTGAGGAGCTTCAAGTGGGAGGCCCAGGAAGGCCTGCGGGGCCCCAGAAACCGGGGCAAGGGCGGGGGCACCGGGGCGCAGGGACAGGCTGGCGGGGTCGAGAGGCCACTCCTGCGGCCGGCAGGGAAGGGACGGCTCCCACGCCCACTTCCCAGACGGGCAGACCGAGGTCACCGCGCCATCAGCGGGGCTGCGTGGGAGCAGAGCGGAGGGCAAGAGGATGGGGCGACGCCCCCCGGGCCCCAGGGGCCGCGGCTGTGGCCTCGGCAGGAAGAGTGGAAGGGGCGCCGGGGCCAGGACTGCTGCGGGAGGGCTGGGCCAGGAGGGGAGCGCGGCCGCGCGCCTGCAGGGGCCCCTTCCGGGCCCCGGTGCGCTTCAGGGCG